AAATTAATTATCCGGTTCAGCAATTGACCCGGTGACCCGGCGGTTGAACCGGTGACCCGGTGACCCGGAGACCTTCCCGGGTCAATCACCGGGCCGGGTTTAAAAACTATGCTTTAGATATAAATTGAAGGCACGGAAGATAATAATAATAATAATAAGAATAATAATAATAATAATAATAATAATAATAATAATAACAATAAATTAAATAAGAGCATTACCAGAAGAAAATATGGGCTCTGTGCAGTATAGGTTTTCTTTCATAGGTGTCCATTGTTTCTGCGAAGATGATGAAGAATCATAATAATTTTCCGCAACTGCCTCTTCAGGTGTCTTCATATCTGGATATAATTTATTTATGTACATATGTAAAAATTCAGGGATCTGATAATAAATTAATTAAATTAATTGATAATAAATTAATTAAAATTAATTACCTGAAATGTTCCTTTCAAACTTTGTTATCTCACCCAGGGTGTTAAACTCCTGGTAACAATTCTGGAAGGGATCTGATGTCCAGCATTCCTACATAAAATCAATCACAATTTAGAGTCAATAAAACTGTGCCAAAAAAAAAAAATAGAAAAAATAAATCTAAATGACATAATAAAAATTCAAATGACCTTGTTTGAATTTTGACTTTTTAACGTACTCACAAGTCAAGCAATTACACCAAATAAATCAACATTTCAATGATTACTCTATTCGGAAATGCTTCAGTCGCGTTACCAATCATTCCTTCGAATTTGTATCTGTTAGATCATCATATAACAGTTGTGGATAGTTGATCTAACGGTTACAAACCCAACGAAATGATTACGTAACTGGACCGTAGAATCTCTCTACTCTACAAACAAAATTGATTTTGACATGCATTCTTTTTTTGTCAAAAAACAAAAATAAAAAAGAATTACATTCCAAAACTAAGTAACACGAGATCTAGAGAGAGAGAGAGAGAGAAAGTGTACGTCTTCTCCGTGGAGTGACGTGTAATCGAGGTGGTTAGGGAGGAGGAGCAGCCTTCTCCGTTTAGAGCTGAACTGGAAAAGCACGTCTTCAAGATATCCGGTCGACATTAAATCTGAGCCGTCAGATTCCGCTGTGCCATCACTCACCATTATCACCTTGCTTGGTCGTTGTTGCTGCTCTTCAAATTTAAATGTTTTTCAAAACCAAACTTAAAACATTACATATAGAGAGAGAGAGAGAGATTTATATATGTCATAAAACTAAGGAGAAAGTGGATAGCGAGAGAAATATATATGAAAAAGCAAAAGTAAAGTAAAGGAATAAGAAGAATAATAAGAAGAAAAGAAAAAGAAAGTGACAAAGGCTGGGGCACGTATATATATTTGCATAAATACATACACACACATACAGACATGATAATATTTGTCTGCGTTGAAAATTCCGAGGCGGTTGTGTAAATCCCAAGCTACTATTGGAGGGAGAGGGTTAATTATATTATTAGAAGCAGCAGGCTAATGCTGAATCCCATGGTCTCGTCGACTCCTCCGCCAATTATGTTGTGGATCCCGCGGTTCATAGATTATTAAGGCCGGTCTCCTGGCTCAACACACATAATCAAGAAACACTTTAATTAAGAATTTTTTTTTCTAGTCAATATTAATCCTGTTTAATGGATGTTATGAGAAATAATAAAGATTGATGAGATATGTAGAGATTGTGTATTAAATTGAGGGTTAAAAATAAAAAAATATGAACAAAATAGTCAAAACGACATTTATTTAATCAATGATCAATTTGGTCAGGATGACAAATAATAAAAATAGGAGGAAGTAGGATAATCAGGGGCGGATCTAGAAAATGAAATGAGGAGGGGCCAAATTTTTGTAATAATTGAAAGGCTATAAAAAAATGGCACAAGACAAAAATAACACTCACTACTAGAAATAAGTGTATTAGTAACGAATTTTTGCAACGGATTAGTAGTGGTGCCATAATTACGGTATTAGTAACATAATTTTGCAACGGATTTAAATTGGTGCCATAGTTATGAGTTTCTGCAACGGATTTTAATTTGGTTTTATTATTAAACCATATTTCCTTTATTTAACTAGCTATGATTAATTCAAATGAAAAATAATAATTAATTATTACAATTAAATGTACATAATAAGATTTTATTGAAATTCGAATTTCAACTAAAAAAAAAATATGATGATTAATGTCGAAAATGCCTTATATGCTAATTTCTCAATATGTTGGAGCAAATAATTATTACAATTATATTTCTTAATTAATTTCTTAGTTGACATGAATTTTCATTGACAATAATTCTCTGACATAACAATTATTATAGTAGCATGCAGTGTTTTGATAGATCTATATAAAGATACAACATATAAATAAGACATTGGAATAAGAACAATTTAATATGAGAGAACAAAAAAAAAAAAAAAAAAACTAATTATTATACAATTTCTTTTACGGGTTATTTTTTAAAAACTATACAATTTATATTTATTCTTTTGGGAATATATATTATAACAACTAAAAATCTAAAAAATTCCAGGTGGGGCCTAGGCCCCACCTGAAGGGGCTATAGCTCCGCCCCTGAGGATAATGGACGTTACTGAAACCAATAAATTAAAGGGAAACTTCCTTAAAAATTCGTAAACTACTTTTTCAATTTCTCATCAGTCCTCACTCAATTTTTTTTTTACTCTACACTCCCTTCCCCCATAAACATCTTACAGGAACATCTTACACTTAACACCCTAGTTTTAAAATAAGTCAAAA